CTCTTAAGCACTAGGCGTCTAGAAAGCTAGTAATAGCTTAGCTAGATATAGGCTGAAGAACGGCCGTCGGCTAAAGTCCTATATAGCCAACGGCTGATACAGGACTATAATGGAATAATATATATATATATATACAGGATAGTACGTATAAATAGTTACCGCCTTACAGCGCCTAATAGATATAGAGAGAACTAATATTATATATAACGCACTTAATAATTTCCAAATTCGTGCAATTTCACGCTATCAACACTTATACATTGAAATAAACTTTATAAACTTTATAACGCTATTTATATATTTACCTATTTACTTTGAATATAGGTAATGTCAGGGAGGGCTCCTAGCGGAGCCGAGCACGCAGCTACACGCGCCTACCACGCTGCTAAAAAGGCAGGCACAAGACAACAAAGCTCAGTTGTTGTCTGCGTAGCTGATACTTAAGCTTACGTTTGGGCGCACCGTGACAGGTAATAAGTAATAAGAGTAGTTAATCTTAAAGTAAAGAGTCTAGATTTATATAAACAAATAGCTAACAAGCTTAGGTAGTATTTCTAATACTTATATACGTTATAGAGGATAAGAGCTGACTAATAGGAGCTAGAATAAGCTGGGCTAGCCAGAGGTAGCTGGGAAGCTGACAGGGAAGGTTATGTCCTAACACCAGCTTCAGCTTTTGATCATGCTGTTTAGTACAACCTTACTAGGTATGAAATGTTGATCTAACAAGATGTCATTCATGTCTATAATTTTTGTTTCTTAGTTTCTATCACAAAACCTTTCCATCCATCGAGCTTTGTGTAACATGTTTTTTCATAATCAGAAATGCCTCCGCCGTAGGTCAGAACCTCGATTTTCTTGCCTGGGATGTTTCCACCATTCCACCATGAATCGGTCCCGTTCAGGAGCGAGCCTGCAATCAAATCATTGATAAGGGCTTTCCACTCGTCTTCAGCCAAGGTCGTTGGTTCAATCGACTTTGCATTCTCCTTCTCCAGCTTCTTAATCATGTCGAAAATGAAGTCGCACTGGCTCTCGATTATTGTCGGTCCATTTGAAAATGCTGTAGGGGCTATTTCCCTCCAATTTCGTCAGCTAGAGAGAAAAATGCATAGACCTGTTAGTTTAAAAGACGCACCTTGCGGGCTATATAGGAGAAAGGCGTTGGGAAATCCGTTCATTAGAATTCCCAGATATGTTCGTACACCTTCTTTCCAGATGTCCTTAATATCCACTCCATGCTTGTTTTTCAAGCCCATATGGGTCAATCTTTTGTGCAATTTTCCCTTGGTTAGCGCATTTCCCCAGCTTTGCAAGAAACAAAAGAGGAAAAGGAAGGAAACTTACGATCCTGTGAAGCTATCGAACCCTGTTGCAAGAACGACCACATCAAACTCCTTTTCAACTGAATCATATTCAGTCGCGATCCCATACTCTGTGAATGCCTTGATAGGGTCCTTCTTCAAGTTGACGATTTGGACATGTTTCATGTCGACACATTCATAGTAGTCGCGCTCGAGGGGTGGCCGCTTTGTGCCAAATGGATATAAAGGCTTCAGCGGCGCCATCAGATCTTTCTTTAGGGGATCTGTCATTCTTGATCGGACCTTCTTCGCCCAAAAATTGTACACTTCGTGGTTCGCTTTCTCATCGATGGCGACATCTCGATACGTTCCAAGCAGGAAGTTGAACGCTCCTCGGGCCCACAATTCCTCAAAGAGTTGTTCTCGTTGTTCGACTGTATGTTCGAAAACATTACATCCTACACTACTAATCGGCATTCCTGCTATACTTTGACGACCTTCTTTGAAGAGAACAGGGTAATAGGCCCGTAGGCTTTCTTGCTCTTCGGGAGAGACATCTCGCTGGCCCATAGGAATACAAGTGCTCGGCCCTGGATATATTCGGGTCAGCAAGGACTTACAAGTCGTGTGAGATTTAGTTATTACTTACGACGTATGTATATCGTCAGGGATCCTCCGTCTGCTGTCTGCTTTGCCAGTTCCTGCACAATCTGAACAGATGTCGCACCTGCTCCAATGACAGCCACCCTCTTGTTCCTGAAATCCGCGTCATTAGGCCAGGAGCTAGAATGGTATACCTCGCCTTTATATTTCGCAAAATTTGGAAAATCTGGAAAGTGCTTCCTGTGCAGGAGCCCTGTCGCGAGAACGAGATACTTCGCAGTTGCTTTAAGACCCTTTGTAGTTACAATTGTCCACACACCTTGATCTTGGTCATACTCAGCACCGCAAACTTCTGCCCCAAAAAACACGTCCTTACGCAATTCCAGTACGTTGTCCAAATGGTTCATATAGCGGCGGAGTTCCTTGTGGTCTGGGAACCTTTGGGTGAAGTCGAACGATTTGTACGCCTCTGGAATATTCAGCTGGTAGAAAGGAAATTCTGAATCGACTCTAGCCCCCGGATACCTGTTCCAGTACCAGACTCCCCCAAAGTCAAGTCCAGCCTCGAATATTTTGGCCCTCAACCCTAATTTTCTGGCGCGATAGATTGCAGAAATACCGGACAATCCTGCTCCGACTATGATAAGATCCAGATGATCATCGCTCTGCAATGCACATGCTGGGTCATTATCGGATGCCCCATCTGAATGGACCGAGGCCAACTGAGGTGGGTAACTGACACCTGTCCTTTTCTGGGCTTCAAATTCTTTGATGTCCACAGATTGAATTTTGGGTGCAACTCCATTTACCAGTGAATTCAAGGGCTCGATCGGGCATGTCACGGGCGTTACGGCATCTTTTGGGTAAGGCATGGCTCGAAACACGAAGATCTTGGTTTCCAACAATAGATAGAGAAAGCCTTGCAGAATCACGTCGTATTGCAAGAAGGCAAAAAAAGTATCTGCGAGGTACTACACAAGACTGATAAGATACAGTGTGTGATTCAAGGAACATTAAATAGTAACTACCATGATACAAATATAGCCACATTTTGCAACGACGCAGCATGTATGATCGTGCGAGAACAGTTTTCTTGGCGCTGGCTGTCCCAAATAGTAAGCTGATTGGTGTGTCGTACATTCACGACATATCTGTACACATACCGCGCCACTTCCCGACACATCTTCCCCGCACTGACTTAAAGTGCTTCCCCTCACATGACAGCCGTAAACTCAATTACAGAAAGACGGGATTTATCAACTAATTGCAGTTGGCCCGCACAAGAATTCTATATTGAGTCCTCTTGTCAAATTATTGGATATTCAAGGTTCTTGATTACGAAAACTAGTATGTGCAGCCACAGCGATGGCCAATGCTACGGACCAAGTTACAGCCCGATATCGACGACCTATGTGGAGTAAGGTTATTCGCTATCTAGACAGCTCTTATCGATAGGTAGACCACAGCGCATAGGTGAAAAGTGCGATCTTTGCACGTATCTTACATACGCTATAGTTGTTTAAGTTACTTGAAAAAGCTGTTAGAGGTAACGGCAGCTATAACGAGCAGTTTTATTCAGGTTTTCGGGTATGCAGCGCTGTAAGTGTAAAGATAGATTTTCGAAATGAACACTAGTTAAGAAAGATGGAATGTATATCGGTTCAGGTTTACCTGACGAAGAGATGCCCTGTGGACCTATCTACCCAACCACGTAAGATGTAAAATTGGGGCGGGCTAGGGATCAGTCTAGAAAGAGGTCCCGAAATCACACGGAGTGGCTACTGATATTGTGAACCCGAAGAATAACCGTCGGGACTCTGCCAACGCTCAGGTTCGGCCAATGCGCATCCCAATCAAAGTCATGGCCAACGCAATACTGAGTCTCTGAGGCATGTACAAGATCTTGGTTCTTCCAATTAATCATTGAAATTATTTACAGATTGATGAGGGGAAAATTACTCTCTGAATTTCTGTAGGAGGTTGACATTTCGGCCACCCCATGTCCGGAGTTGAGGTGCATGAACACATACCTCGACATACTCAGTAACCACCACATGGTCCATACGTCTCTCATTCCTCCGCCGTTCCGGGAAAGTCTTTGAAGCTTTCCTCTTTCCCTTTTAGAAAAGTTGTAAAGCCTTTCAGACGTTCTTCTCTTTGATCTTGGGATCGCTTGTTTGTCCCTCTTTGATCTCCGAATTTATGCAGTGTCGTGGCCGCGTAAAGAGACAGTCTTTTATCGTACTAAAGCTCATGCCTATAAATTTTCATCGTGAAAACAAGGGAAGGGGGGCATTGCGTCCAAGGAGAATGAATTTATGTCCATCCTATCGTCTTGGGCTGTTGCCATGATGTCAATAAAGGTCTCTCCACTCAGTTTAGGGGCTATCGCTGCTCCAAAGAACTCCCAAGGGAGAACGGCATGGGTGTGAGAGTCTGCACTCTGTTCCAGTTGGCTATCTGTTTGGCATGACTTGTTGGTATCACCCAACCCCATACTTTTTCGGAGCGGGGCTTTAGAAGAGGCATGTTGACTGTGCATCGACGATATAAGCCGGAATTCGTCGGCAGCGAGGTGTGTTCCGATATGTTTTCGCTGTAGTGAGCCGGGTACCAATGCATTCATTGAAGTTGAGAGTGGTAAACAAGAGCTCGTTACTGCATGATCAAAGTCGACCATCCTGCTCAGCGTTGCAGACCGATTAGCTTTGCCACCGCTCCGGTTATCATCTGAATTAGTGTTCAGATCTACAACGTTTGATGCAAACTGAAATCCAGAAACGAGATGTGCAAGCTCAGGGTACTGTCTGGAAAATGGTGCCAGAGTGCAGTAGTTTTCTAAATTGTACATGGCAACCTCGAATTCTTTATCCAGTTCAAGGTCGGAAGCGTCCGAGGCAATTCGGATGAAGGGCGAGCGTTCAGATTCGACATTACGCATCTCGAAATTTCTAATGAGTTCGACTAGGAGCTGATGGAGGTCGTATTTGTCCCAACTTTTGATTAATTCTTCTCTCAAAGCAGGCCTGAACAGTGAACGAGAGTGTTAGTACTAGATAGATCAGAGATCCATAAGTTCTCCATCACGTACCACGCCAAAAGATCAATGAAAGACGGATGGTTTTGAGTAAGTTGTGCTAGCCTCGGCCGATGCCAAGGGGGGCATTTCATTAGGTTTTCGAGAGTCGGAAATACCAAGAACTGGGAAAAGAATTGTCAATCCAGGTTGTGAGTTAACCTAACAGCAAGAGAGAACAAGTCGTTACCTTGTAAAATCTGTATTGTGCCCAGAACATGGTGGCGTACTCGGCACTTGTCCTGAACAAGTCGCGACAGAACCGCATAGACTCGTAGGCACATGCTGCTACTGCGCGTTGCTGCCTTTCCAACTCGGATAGGTGAGAGGAGTGGTACTCTACGTTAGGATTGGTATCTGTAGATTCATTGAATATCTCCCTCCCATAAAGAAGATGCTCCAGTATAGACTCATAAAAGTGACCTGACTCGACGAGTCCCAGGACCTTTTCTGTAGCTAGGGTCAGAGTGCGTACTAAAAAGGGGCTGGAGTCTGCACCTCTAGTCAGGCTATGAGGAGCTTTGGCCAAACTAAAACGCTCTATCAAAATCTCAAACCCAGATACCGCAGAGTCACCGAAGAGCTTCCAGGTCATCATATATTCCAATAATTGTTGTGTCGATATTAAACAAGATAAATTGTTTTCTTTGGGATTCGCTGGTTTTTGACAGAAGCTGAAGACCTCAAATAAAATTGAGTCCATAGTGATACGGTCGCCGGAAAGAGAGCCGATAGCTTTCATCATTCTGATATCCTCTTCTTCCGAGCTCCATTGCTGCTGTAATTGTTGCACAGTACTGGTTGTCAGTTTTCCACCGCTCACAAAACTCCAGTCTCCGTCGTTGTTGAATGTCTCATCAGAATCGAGCATCTCTTTACCTGCCAAAACGATATTTTCAAGCTTGGTTTGGTATTGAGTTAGCTTCGTACGTAGCCGCATATTCTCCTCTTTAAGACGATTGATCAGGGCACCTTGTTCGCCTGTAAGTACCAATTGCAATTGTTCTTCCAATTCAGCAGCGGTTAACTTGGATTGCTGGCGGGCTTTCTTTCGATTCCGTCGATCCAACCATCTTTTCTTTTTAAGCTGGCTCTCACTGTATTTGTCTTTCCAGTTGATTTTCTCCATTTTGGAGAGGAGAAAAGGGGTCAATCACCACTTCATGCATGTCAAGACAGTGATATAGGGCGTAGAGGTGACGTTAGAAAAGAAGTTTGGGAGGGACCCAATGGGCTGTACCCGGTTAGGCGGTGAGGAGAAGAGGGGTCTCTCATTATCCGAGCACCCGGTGGACAAAATAACGCGGACTTAGCACAGGCTGCCCCTACTAAAATCGATGACATGCTAGATCAGCAAGTTAGCCACCTGCTTACTAAATTTGCGCACCCCTATCAGAATAACGCGTTTCACCAGTGGCTCGGCCATTCTAGAGATTCGGCCACCTCCCCGCGCTACCCCGCCTTTGCAACAACAACGCATAATGTCTTAACTATGCAACGCGTTAAAAGCCTACTATATCATAAGCTAGGCCTTGTAAGATACTATATATGAGGAGCTGAACGTTATTTTATTGCTTAGGTCTATATAAAGTAGAGAAGGTCTAATGTTTACTTATAGTACCCCTCTTTCGTTAGGCTTAAATAGAGTAGGCATATAACCTACCCCACAACACCTGGTATTTACCACGCTAGTCCGATGGCCCGGATCAGCAATGGCTGCAAGGTCTTCGTGGCTATTATCACAGGAATTATCTAGATCGTAAGCATTCAGACGTATGCTCGTTTGCTTCCGCGACGCAGAATGGCCAGCTATGGACTTTATACAAGAGAATGACGCTCCAATCCTCGACATCAACCATACTTCACTTCTTAATTACATATGCAAAGTTTTTCAACTCTGAATTGGTGCAATACCAGTGCAATTGCTGTTAATTTAACTAGAGCGCACAGAGAATTTTCACGTAAAAACTCCTATCGTTGAACTGGAATTCCTCATATCAAATATTTGTCAAACGGTTGATTATTCTTTCAAGAAGAAGCCTTGATTCGCCCATTTGCATTGGACCTCTTTCGACGATTCGGTGAGCGCTTGTAGCGCGTTGTTGAATTTCCGAACCTCTTCAATCTTGTCAAACTCTTCCGCTTGAGCCTTGGAGAGGAATCTCGTTACGATTTTATAATTTCTCGGAATGTTCGTGTCTCGAAGGACCCAAAATGTTTCAATCTTTCCTGTTTCTTTCGCTAGGCTTGCAAAGTCGACAAGAGTTTGAGTGAGTTCCTTGACATTGGTGTCAACTGTTTGGAAAGAGGTAATACGAGTGACTTGCTTTCCATCGAGTTGAGGAGATCCCATGAAAGACTTGACTTCCGCGACAGGTTCCATATATTCGCAGACGAGGCCTCGTTCTTCAACGTCCGGGTTCGTGGGAATGGGCGGTAACCCATCTCTTCGGCGCCGCAACCCCTCCAAGTCTACCCGAATGCCATATTCGTAAGTCCTGCGAAAGGTATCAACTGTTCGAAATGGCAGTCAGATTCTAATCTAAAGCATGCATTGGTCTGAAAGGAGGAATGGGGACAGGCGCCGGGCGGCAATGGAAAGCATTCGTACACGTCAACTCGCCACAGGCGTGGACATCAATTCCCTTTTCGCCATCATAGATTTCAAAGACGTGCATTGTATCCGGGTGACCTTCCGGATACAGCCAATAGTAGCATCTGCCGAGAACATGGATTATTAGCCTAACGTATAGTTTTAGTAGCCGAGGTTATTCATATCTGACCTGGTTGTCTCCTCATTATCCCAGACATGCTGAGCCAAAGACGCGAACTCGCGCTTAACATCTTCGACATGGCCCTTGTATGGTGTCAACGTTGCCAGAATCACTGGCGAAAATGTTGATAGATCACGCATTGCAACTCGCTCTGTTGGGAAGTCTACTTTGTGTAGCAAACCTTGTAATCCAGTGTTGACCAACTGCAGTCTGCGTGCAAGGGAGGTGCTTATGAATTGTAGCTGGAAGGGGTTCGGCCGAGCGGGGTTTGAGTTGGCTCTAACGTAGCTTGAACCACCTAACCGAGGAATGTCGTGAACTTTCGACATGCTGATAATCAGCCTTGCCGTTTTGAGCTTCACTACATTCAAATGAGTTTAGCATTCTTTCTCCTCTGTTACGAAATCACTTCCTGCGACATTCTGCTCCGTCCTTGGCACACCATAAGGATCACCCTCCGCTATGACCATTTGCATGGGCACCACCAGCAGCTGATGAGAAAGACGCTCGCGAAGAGGATCAATCCCTACCCTGACAAATACTCGAACCCCTCAAAACCTAATTCAATTGGCCGATCAAAAGTTGTTCAAGCTTTTTGAGAGTCAAGATACGGGAATCTTGACAATGACGCCGCTGGATTTTACAGGTAAGGTAGGCTAAGAATGTCGAATGTGGACATTTGAAAAGATGCTGATGAGCTTATTAGGTCGCCATTGTCAGTGGGTGTGCCTCAGGAATCGGTCTTGCAACCACTCGGCTACTCCTGAGCTTCGGTGCGAAGGTCTTTGGGGTGGATGTCAACAATGCAGACCTGATCCACAGTGCTTTCACGTTTCATCGATGCGATATTACCTCTAGCGTAGGCGTCTTGGAAGCTATCCAACATTGCTTGGAACTATATGGTGCACGAATTGATATATTAGCAAATGTAGCTGAGGTCATGGATGCATTTTCAAGCGCCGATACTGTTACGGAAAGCGAATGGCATCGTGTTTTAAGCATCAATCTGACCGCTTGCATGTACCTGACCAAGGCTGTTCTGCCACATATGCTGCCATACACTAGCGGCGCCATTGTCAATGTTGGAAGTCGTGCATCTCTCGGGGGAGGAGCTGCTGGTATAGCATATACGGCCAGCAAACATGGCTTGGTAAGTGTTGATCACCACTCTATTAGCTACTAAAGCTACTGATACTTGAAATTAGATTGGGTTGACCAAAAACATAGCATGGAGGTTCCATAAGCAGGGGATCAGATGCAATGCTGTTTGCCCTGGAAGTAAGACACCATCACCCTTACGCCAATATCCTCTCTGACATCGAAGCAGATACCCAAAGCAATATCGCCCAGTCCATGCACATGAATGAGCTGGATCAAGCAGCCTATAAGGTAGCTATGTAAGTTTTCTAGACCTCCTATGCCTATCATGCTGATATCGTGCAAGACCAGTGCTCGACCTCCACGCTCCCTCAAGCTCTTTCCAGGCTGTTATCAAAGCTGAAGAAGTGGCAAATGTGGTTGTTTTCCTAGCGTCCGACATGTCAGTAATGGTCAATGGGGCCGTGATCCCTGTAGATAATGCTTGGAGCGCCCTGTGACTAAATCCACGAACTATATTGAGATAATGGATTAAATGCTAACTATTAATCTGGGAAGTATAAAGGTCTTTGTTATACTCTATCAAGTCGTGTATCGTTAGTCTGAACGTGCTTAGTATGATATAATGATATTAACAAACCCCAACTCTTACTCACACGCAGCATGCTATAGATCCTTGCTAATACGGCTAATAGCTTTCTCTGTTATTAGAAAATATTTAATTCTAGATACTAGAACATAAGTCCAGCCTTGCTAAGAAAATCCCTTACTAAAATTTGCCATTTCTTACTAAAAAATCACTCTCTCTTCTTTTCTAAATTTCTCACTTTATAATAAATTTAGCACTATAACACTTGGATATAGAATCAATTAGTACTAATTATATATTTTTTAGAAAGTATAATTATTAGAATACTGCTACTTAGGTAGCGGAAGTTGCTGCTTGTTCTACTAGTAGCTTAGAGGTAGAGGTCTCTGCCTT